AGTTTATGCATTTTATTATATTTATTTCAAAATGTCTTGTTTGTTTCGTTTCTTTTTATGGTATCTATCATTCATAAAATGATAAAGGTTTAAAGGGGGATCGAGTTTTGTTGGACGAAAAGAGGGGAGAGGTTTAGGAAATTTGGACAAACTGGAACAAGAGGAGAGAGTAATAATTTCAAGTAAACTGCGGACGTAATTAATGGACATACCCAAACACGGAAAGCGAAAATTTTCAACATTTTGCACTGGAGTAGCAGAATCTACGTGAGAAAAGAGCAAGTTATGAATGTAACAACAATTTGTAATATATTAACTTTCCTTCATGTTTTATTACAGACTAATATCTAATCTAGACATATTTAGATAAGCGCTTTCTTAATACACATTTCTAAATACTGTATTAGAACAATCATATTTCAATTAAAGTAAAACAGAAGTTATTTTAGATGACAGTTCAAAAAGATTTGCGATGATTTTTAATTGCACTTTTTAATTCATTACTTCATTAATGATATTTTATTAATAAAAATATAAAAAGGTAAAATTTATCTGTTTGAAAATATATATTTTTTATTAAATTTCTCGGTTGTTTAAAAATGTTCAGAATATTTTTAAATTCAACACACAATTTACGATTTAATTCATTTGGTTTAGAAAGTTTTAAGGAAATGAATTTAACATGATTACAGTTTTAAATATTCGAGTAATTATTCAATTGCAGTTGATTTAAATATAAATTATTATACTACCAAGTTTATTTCGCACTTAAATAAGAGCCAATTTCCCATAGCAAATCTTAGAATTACCCTTTTGAAATTACGAGAATTACCCCCCTTGGCATTGCTTTAACCCATTAACAATAACGAATTATTATACTTTATAATTGAATTTATGTAGTTTTTCAATTTTTAAAACTCTTTCAGATGATGTTCCGTACATATTTCGTTACATTGTATTTCATTTATGCTTCGTTGTCAACTGTTTAAAGCTATTATATGAAGTGACCAAATCCCAACAAATGCAGATTTGTCGAATTCAAAAATGTTATAAATATCGTAAAAAGTTTAATTTTCATTTATTTGTCTTATTTTCTTATATAGGACTAATATATTTAAATTTTTAATCTTAGCGTATTCACATTGTAGAAACACTTACCTATACTTTGTTACTCTGTATACCTTAACTGTTTGCTTACTTGATCGAGCTGACCAACATTAAATGCCATAAAACTCGAATAAGAATTTTTACTTTTAAAAAATACTACTTGTTTCGCCATTCTTACCCTATTGGGAGGCAGAATGACGAACACATCGGGGCAAGTTGACGTATGATTTAAAATACAGACAAATACAAATTATTTTTACATTTGGAACAATGCCCCTCTGATTCTATTTTAAATAATAAAATTAAAACAAAAGAAGCGAAATACAAACAAACAGAATATTTGACCAACTGGGGTAAATCGCGAATGAATTTTCCTGTATCTTCGTAACTCGTGCTATCAACACTTGTCTTTACAACACTGAATCCACTCAACCTCGAGTGGATCTGCAATATTAGCTTTTAAAATATGTAAATATGTCTGTCTTAATTAGCTTATAAATCCCTTGTTAAGGTATGTTGATGATTCGTCAGTCAGCGTGTTCAATAATGAAATGATTTAGTTATTGCAGAGTTAACCTATCAGTTAGACAAATTCTGCATGAAAACGATTGCAAAGAAATGCCTGATCTAACGCTGAAAAAATTATTTCGCTACTATACAAAATAGAGTACTTATGGAAAGCTTTCCAGACACATGAAAAATATTTTACTGATTGGAAATCAAATTTTTAAGCATAACAACTAAAGTATTGTACGTATAATAAATCAACCATTCATTGTCAAGCTGGACCTGTTGATACAACCTCACGTTTTACACCAGACAAGTGTTTCCACTTATCTCTAGATTAACTTAAAAAATCTTGTTCCATTCGCCAATTTGACCCGTCTTTCCTTACACTTAATTAATAATTATTTTAATTTAATTTAATTATTATAATTTTATATCAAGTATAATATTTTAAAAAATTATATTTAAAAAAATCACGCATATTTTCGATTCAACAAGTAAACCAGAAAACAATTTTATCTCTCGCACTTTTAAACTCTTCCAAGAATAAAGTGTTATATCCATAATTTTTTTTTATATATAGAAAATTGAAGTCGAAATATATTCACAGATGTTTCCTTCAAATATAAAATTCCATTCCGCATACATATATACATATAAATCGATTCCCGGGTATAAAATCAATGCCATAGAATTTCGGATCGAAGAAATATCAGTCGACAAATAATGTATCAACATTTTATAATTTATGAACTTGGATGACAAGTTATTGGATGACAATTTTATCCCAACTTATTGGCATGTGTCAAATGGCGATGACAATTGCAGCGTAAGTGACTCAAATATAGAGACTCGGCAAATTCTTTCACTCATCCATCACGATATTCCTTTGACAAAGTGTCTACACTATAGAGAAATTCTTTCCTCTGATGTACGGTATTGGCTTTTAGCAATATTTTAAATTTACTTATAATATATGAAAATTATCGAATCGAAAATATAATTTCAAAGTTTCTCTTTCAAAGATCGTGGCTTATTAAAAATAAAACTGCTGAACTAAAGATACTTTCCCGTTGTTATTTTTAGAAAATTGGCTAGAAATGCCATTATTTGACTGAGCTTAAATGTAAAATATAATGTGCAATAATGTTTTTTTTTTTACTAAATAAAATGTTCGTAAATGACAATTTTTACTAGCTTTGTACCCTATTAATATTTGGCATGTGGCCAGATGTGAGTTAGCTTTTAGCGATACCTTACATTTTCCTACGTTTTAAAGGTATATTATTAATATTTAATCGTGTAAACAACACTAAAACCATCACGTCTAGTTCATTTAATTTACGTAACTCTGTTGCCATAAATGATTAAATTACGGATTCATTTCGTAAGCCTTAATTTTACGGGCAATAGATATTAGGCCTTATAATTATAGATATAGGATATAATTACGGAAGCATTCAAACCTTATTTCTATACTGAGAAGAATAAGAATTTTATTCTAGGCAGAAACTCGAAGAATTATTTGTTTTGGTGTAATATAGGCTACACGACATCGTTATGGAGCATCACACGTGCCTTTTTTTTTTATATAAATTCAAACGGATATTCGAGCAATTTCTCACTCTTATCTTTTTTTACTGCTTTACATAAGTCATTTGTTACATTTTCTTTCTCAATAAATGGCAAGACCAATGAATCATCTTGGTCACCAGTTATTTTGGCGCCATTCGCTTCCTACAATAGTACTTTTTTTACTAGGAAACACTTAATTAAATGTACAATACGTTGACTAAATTATTTTATTATCGCTCTATATATTTTTTAACTTATTACCATTAAAAAAATACATAAATAATAAGATTTTCTAACTATTAACGTAAGAAATGTTACTTGTTTAAATGATAATACAACGGAATAAAGTATTTCCGACGGAACTAATTCATTTCCTCTTCAGATATATAAAGTATTTAGCCTACATTCGTTAGTAAATACTGTTACAGAAACAAATCTAAGAATGGCTATACTTAACGATTATAACATTTAAATCAGATGCAAAGAGTACAAGAATAATTTGTAATTTTGTACAGCATGGAAACTCTCTCGTGTGATATTTCAATTTACCTAATTTATCAGATGCACTTCATTATTGTCGTCTTCCTTTTTAAATAGTCTCGTTGGAATTTAATGCCAAATGAAAAGTTAATCATGGTTTGTTAAAGGTTTTTTTACGAAATATTCGTGTAATGTTTCGAATTTTAAGGCACTTTTAACTATAACAATGTATTTTTTTTTTTATTACTTTGACGTATAGGAGATTTTTCTGACTGATTTTAAGGAATCTTCTTTATCTAAAGGCTATAGAAACTGACACGCTAGATTCTTATATTTTCTTAAAAGAAAAGTAGAAAATCTATAGGCATATCCTTTATCCAACTTGCGTTTAGAAAGAAAAGAAATTTATTGACAGTTTCTTTTTCAAAAAATAAAAAGATTTGTCAGATGAATTTTTTGGCATCCCTCAAGACTTTAAACCAAGTTAAATTAAAGAACTGTTTTAAAGTCAGCAGTTTCAAGTGTTTCAATAGATCGGGTTGATTAGACACGACTTTACAAACTTTTCTCCGACGATTAGCACTATTTTTAGATATTTTAAATATAAATAGATTCTGAAACAAAAAATGAGCATTATTATTCTTTCAAAAAAGCTATCTGAACCGCTTTTCTTTGAAGGAAAAAAAAGAAGAAAAGATGGAAGAAAGTTACACCATTATTTTCTAAGACAGCAACGCAAATAACCCCCTGGAGAAGAATGCTCTCAATACAACTAATGCTTTTATTACTTCTAATCAACTACAGGTGGTTTTAAATGATCTTTTCATAGAATGCCTTCAATATTCTCCAATACAATTGACAAAGAAGCGAAAGATAGAGAAGTTTAAAGCTCTTTTCCATAAATACTATTGTTGTCCCTCCTTTAACTTTCTTGTCACAGCTGTGGCTTAATGAATGGCTATTCTAAATGCAAAGCTTCACTTACACCTTCAATGAAATTTTAGCTTATAGTCTAACAAAGAATGATATCTATTATGTAATTTTTCTGCTGCTTCATCTTTTTTTTGTAATTTTTTTTTTGTCGTTTTACTTATAAAGTATGTTATCTAACCGATAAAAATGGTTTTCTTTCAATATTTGTTTAAGTTATTATCTATCCTCGACTTTTAAAACACTTTAAGAAGTTTGTTTATCTCTTGTTAACTCTTTAAAATTCTGCTACATCCCTTAAAATCTCGAGATTCCTTTTTTTTTATATGGTTAAAAATTCTATCCACGAAACAAAAATGTTAAAAGGATAAATCTAAAAATAAAAAAGGGAGTTTACTTACCGAAAGAAGAGGCAAAAGACCCAATACTAGTTTTTCTTCGCTTCTTAGAATGTCTTGCTCGTTTAAAAACATGTGTAACTATTAAAATATAAATATTATTAATTAATAAATTCGATTTTTTAATTAATTAATTAATTATTAAACTTACTTTTATTAGCCCAATATTTCATATTTCTAACTTCGTGTACATCATCATCATCACTCTTTCTGCTCCCGTTACTCCCGTGTTCTTAATAGAAAGAAAAGTATCATTTTAATAATTAAACAGTAAATTTTTATTACATTTATATACATTATCGATCGAGTTATATAGAGTTAACATTCAATCAATCAATCAGTTTATTTGTATTAAGGCTATTAGCCTGTTACAAAGGATGTATTTTAATAACAATCAATTTTTCTATCATTAAATTATACATCATCATCAACCCAATTTAACCTAAATCTTTATCACATAATCTAATAAACTATATTACAACTAGGTACAGTACATATACTTGAAACAAGACAATTTGTACCAAAATGAATATATTCATATATTACACTTTACACGTGTACATATATTTTAGTTCTCGTATTATTTTTTGGTTATTATAATTTTACGTCAACATGAATTTCTGAGCATATTTATATAGCCCATAAATTATATCTATTGAGGCTCTATTGATTACTATATACGTTGCCATTAGTACATTTTAGTAAAAATTGTAGTTCAAGACTGCTAACTCTTTTGCATCTTTACAGTCACAAAACATATGAAATTTTGAAATTATTTTTTGACATATTGGACACATAATCTTAGAAAATTCGATAATTTTGTTATTAATTAGTATCAATTCTTTATTTAGTCTGAGTTGCACAAAAAATATTTTTGCATTAAAAGCCAGATTTGTTAACATATAATTGTTATTAAATGGATACTCCAGAATTATATTAAACCAATCAGATTTAAATCTATTATGTAAATATTCAATGTCCTGTGATAATACAAAATGTTTTAGAAATTTCTCTAATTGGTGATAATGTTGATCACTTATCTCAGGTAAATCCAGGAATATTTTTATAGAATAACCGAAATGGATCAATATTTTTGATAATTGTGTCACCCAATTCCTACCATGCTCTTTCACCAGTGATTTCCGGTATAATTGATATAACAATATCGTTGATAAATTACCTACGTTTCTTAATTTAAATAAAAAATTCGTATATCTCTTTATTAAAGTTGCGCTTAATTTGTATCTGCTCAGCTCTAATCTAATCGCACTGCCTGGTATATTATATTCCAAAAAGAAAATTCTGCGTATAAACTTGTTCTGAATTATATCCAATTTTTTCCAGTGACTAAGACTCCAAATTGGGACTGCATAACCAATTGAGTTCATGATAATGGAGTTAAACAAACGGAAGTGAACTTAAATATTCTTTATTTTAGCCTTAGAAAATAATCTTACCATCATTAAATCATTTAATAACCTATTTGCTCCATTGGCTGTCTTTTTATACTGTTTATCAAAAGATAAATTTGGTGTTAAGATGATACCCAAGTATTTTGTTTCTTGAACTACTCTCAATTCTTCTTTATCGATGAAAACACGCATGTGTTTCTTCGGTAAGTTAGCTCCGTTCCTAAATATCATAACTTCAGATTTCTTTGGATTTATTTTCAATTTCAGTTCATCAAAATATTTCTTCACCGATTGGATCTTCCTTTGTAAAGCAGCAGCCGTTGGAGCAATAATTACTATATACATAAGATATCGAATGAACCAATTGATTATCTATTAAGAACCAGTCATCTTCATTCGAAAAACAACTATTTATATCAAATGTGTAAAAGTTAAATAGGTGGGGAGACCAAGGATCTCCTTGCAATAAACCTCTGCTTGAATCAAATGGCGGCCACTGAGTATGATCTTGCTTAATTATAATTTTATATTGACCTAATAGCACTCCTATAATATTCGTTAAACATTCATCTGCTTGATAGTATCTCAATTTTTTTGTAAATCTGCAATACTTACAGAATCATATGCCTTTTCTAGGTCTAAAAACAATGCAAAAACCTTCTGTCTTTTTTTGGTTAACTGTAACTGAACAATTGCAATTAATATGAAGAGAGCAATTGGGTGCCACCGTTTTTAGTGAAAGCATATTGGGTTTCGTTCTTGTAATTATTTTTATCTAACCAATTGTTAAACTTCAATGACAAAACTGCTGTAAACACTTTACGTAATCCAGATAACAACGCAATCGGACGATAATTAGTTGGTATTGACCTTTCACCGTGTTTATATAACATAGCAAATATTACCTCGTTCCAATTATATAGTACAACTCCTTGCTTATAAAATCTACCAAACTGTCTAGACAAAAAGTTGACCATTTCTATTGGAAAGTTCTTAATTATAGAATTGGGAATTGAGTCAGACCCTGGCGCAGAGTTCTCCTTTAGTTTCTTTATACAATACTGCACTTCTACTTTAATTTCTTCCTCTAAGAGGTTACCTTGAGATGCATTTGTGTCTTTAATTCTTAAGCAACCTTTACTCTTGTATTCTTCTGAGAAGATTCTAAAATGATGAAGCCAACCGCTATAGGGTACTTGAATTATTTCTCTGTATACTGACTTAGTAACTCGAAAATCATTGACTATAGTCCAAAAAACTTTTTTTCTTTGGCCTTAGTTAATTTGTCACTGATCTCTGAAAAATATTTTTTCTTCTTCGCCTTCACTAGGTTATGATATACTCTCTTACTATCTAAATACATCTTCAGCGATTCTTCAGCGTTTACTTTTCTAAATCTTTGTAAGTTTTTTGCTTTTTTAATTTATAGAAATAACACTTATTATCAAACCATTTATGTTTGAATTTGGCCATATTTATTCCCGAACTTCTCTTAAAACGTAACTGTCTAAAATTGTTATTAAATGGTTATAATTATCTATCGGATTATTCTCTCTTTCATGTACCAATAAATCCTCGATATTATTAGATATTTTGTTAATAAATTTAAATTTTATTATAAGTCTGTTTTTTTTTTTCCTTTGTTAATTTTACAATTTTGATTTATACTATATCTTCTATTTCCATCTTCTACGTTTTCTCTCAGTTCTAGACGAATCGGAAAATGGTCCGACACATCTATGTCTAATACAGACATCATCTGACACTGGTCTAAAATGAATTCGGAACATATAATATAGTCAATGATTGACTTTCCCAATGGAGATACAAAAGAAAACTCAGCGAGGATATCACCCATGGTTCTACCATTTAATATAATAAACTCACTTTCCTGCACAAAATCTAAAAGAATTCTACCTTCAATATTTACTGTTCTGTCTTTGGATGCTCTGCCATTAATAATGTTTGTATTTTTTTGTTTGCATTTTGTGTCCATTATTTCTCCAATCCGTGCATCAAAGTCCCCTCCAATTATCCATAGATTTACAACACTTGACCACTGATCGATGTTTCTTTTGACTTCTTTTAGTATCAACTTTTTATCTGATGGAGGGGCCAAATAGATTAATATAATTCCCAAATATAATTCTCCCCAACACATTTTAGTTCTTTGATCCAGTTCTATCACCACAAAAATAAAATTGTCTGTTATATAATAATTAAAAAGTTTTCCAACATTTCTCTTGATTATCAATACCATACCACCCGATGGACGGCCCATTCTACTTTTTCTCTGTGCTCTGATGAACATCATCATATTCTCCCGCACTAGATATTCCTTGTCCTCTACTCATTTCAACCATCCAGGTCTCCGTGAATCCAATTATAGAATGAGATTTTATATAGTTTTTAACTGGCTCACTATACAATTTTCCCCGCAATCCCTGAACGTTCCAAACACTTATAAAAAAAATTCTCTCTGTTGGTGTAACTTACAGACAGATTATCATCATCAGCAGCCCAATTCTTCGAACTCGTCTTGGAGAACTGAACAAAATTCGAATTATTTTGGTTTATCACAGTATTAAGACAGTATTAAGTAATATTACATCTTTTTATACCTTCCTCATCTGGATTTATAATCAAATTCCTCCTAAAAAATGGTTTATTTGAATAATCTTATCTGTATTAATGTCATACGTATATATTAAATTGTCTTTTATATAATAATCATCTCTAATTATAATTTTATTCTTGTTTAATTTTTCCTGTTTTATCCTACTCTGTAAGTGTTTCCTTCTTAGCCTCGATCGTCTGCATAAATCGGCTGTAAATATTATTTTTCCCATTTCCTCACCAACTAAGTTTGATTTCGCTCGCCAAAATTCTCTAAGAATTTTATTTCTTGTATTAACAGATTCAAGAATTATTTTTACAATAGGTTTATTTTCTCTATTGTTTAATTTGATTAGTCCTTCTATTTCATTATTTTTTTAATTTTAACTCATTATTAATGAATAGATTAATTTCTTGCATATAATCCAATGATTTGAATGGAAAGTTTATAATTATTATATTCTTGTTAGTTTTCTCGTTTACAAGTTTATCTAATTCAAATTCAAACGTACCTTTGAGATAATCATTATTTTCTGATTTTTCGTCCAATTTTTGTAGCTTTTGATTAATTTCTTTCATTTCTTCTTTGTGATTCTTATTCTCTTCTTTCAATGCGTTTACTTCTGATTTAATCGATTGAATCTCAATATTTAGCTGACTAAACTTATCCTGAATTAAGTCATAAATAGATTTTAGAGTAGGCTATATTGAGATTCATCTATTACTTGTGATTCTGACTCATTCACTGGTTCGAAGTAATCATGAATTTTCGGATACTTCACTGACTCAGCTAGTTGTTGACTATTTCCTTCTATTTGATAATATTCCTCACTTGAAATTTCTGCTAGTTTTTAAATTTCTACTCTTTCTCTACGTCCTTGGAACTTGCCCCGTCCCCTTTTTTGCATTTCCAAATGACTTATTCGTTGTGGGGAACGGGACAGCGGTCCTGGGTTAGGTTTAACTCCAGTAATAATTAGTAATACTACAATTAAATCCATGGGCAACCTGTTGTCAAATTTCCAAATCTTTACATAATTCATTTTTCCTTTTATAATGACGTTTTCGTATTCCAATCTACCGAGTCTCAGCACCTCTCAAAAGTTCGCTCACACCCCTCAGAGTTAACATTACTGTAATTCTCAAAAAATTGTTGTAGATATCGTTAATTAGTTAATATTAATTTATTCTAAAAGAAATAGAA